CCCTCTGGCACTAGCGCGACGTCTCTCTCCGATCCACGGGCTTTCACCCCGTTTCGGAATCTCTCTCCACCTATCGTTTCCTCTCCTTCCCTAACGCTCGATCCGTGCGCACCCTCTCCTTCTTCTCTCCCTTGTTCCTCTTTATCGTCCGTCCTTCTTCCACGGTGTGTTCACCACCACCAGCAGAACCACCGTGCCGCGCGCTATCGGTCCAACCCTCTTCACCGGTTTTCCCTCTTTCACTCTTGCCCTGTCTCTCTCTCTCTCTCTTCTTCATTCGCGACTTCAATGACCTCTCTGCTTTTCTACGCATCGGTCTTCCTTCGTTTCGCGCGACGACCTCGCTCACCGTGTCCCTCCCTCGTCCCTTTCTGTTTTTCTCGATTACACTAGGGCTGCATCCTCGTTGCACGGTGTTCAGCAGTGCCACGCAGCTATCAGCCGCGCCGCCCCCGACGCGCGAGTGGCGTCGTAGTCGTCGTCGTAGCCGCTGTCGTCGTCGTCGCCGTCGTCGATCCCTCCCCAGACTCCGGGTCCTTGAATTTCTAGACCAAAGTGCCTCGGCCGACGTGGCGCGGCGGGTGCACAGCCCACCCCTGCCACCGCCACCACCACCGCCGCCGCCGGATGGAATCTCAAAGGTGAAAACTGCGCGCTGCAAAATCCGTCCTCCGACCCCCCACCCGTCCGCCCTTCGCGCCCTTCGCCGCTCGTGTCACCCGTCCCCCCGCGACTCTTTGCCATCGTCACTACTACCCCTGTCTACTACCACCGACCGCTTCGACGAGCCACGCAGAATCCCAGGGGCTCTCACGCGTACCGCGATTATCCGACCTCATCGAGACACCGTCGAAACACGGGGGTTGGGGTGGTGGTGGTGCCGGCGAAAATAATTGTCCCACCGCCACCACCTGCCTCTCTATTTGCCGCCGTTTCTTTCGGGCCCTGTCGAATTTTCCGCGCGGCAACTTTCCCGCCCATTTCAAAAGAGGATTTCACGGTCCCACCTCTCCCTCGTGAAGCTTCCCGAATACGCCCGGTAATCATCACGCGGCCGGAGTGTTTGCAACACGCTTCGAAACAAAATTACTCTCCGTTGATTGCTTTGATCGCTTCGTCTCTCTCGTCGACCCACGGACGCAAAGACAGCAACTCCCTACCGCCCATGGTAGGCTTTTCTAATCCGTGGATAAGCACAAGCCACGATACCACGAGGTGGAGAGTATCGTTCGGTGGAATTTCGGGCAGAAGGAGGGGTGTTTCGTAACGGACGCATAGGTATCCGTGAATTCTCGCGAATAGACCCTCGACCCGAACCCACTCGAGCCGGTTCCTCCTCTAAGTCGTCTCATTGTGTGTAATGGGCTTTGCAGCGCGCCTGCCTAATTCGAGCACCCTCGAGAAGCACTTCGGATATATATCCAAGAACGCGGACGCTGAGACGCGCGCCGAATTCGCCAAGTAAGATCCCCCAAGTTTCTCTCGGCACCTCGGCTTCGATAAACTTCCGGAATGGTAAAGCTTCCAGATTGACCCCTTCCCCACGTTATATTCCGAAGCGTCGAGGGGATTTACTTGAGAACGGAATCCTTCCGGGAAGGAAACGATCGGTTGCTATTCGGTCTGCTTCCACGACGGGAACGGTGCCGATAATTACCAGGCATCGATGATCCATCATCGGGGAGAACGATGATTCGCGCGACGTCCCGCGTTCCAACCAGGAAAGAGAAAGTGCAGTGTTAGACGTCGTTGGTCCCGGAGATGTGACCGCGGAGCATCGTGCATGCGACGCATAGGTATAGGTATGCGATATGGCATTTGATCCGACACGTGTCACGTGACGGGTGTTACCTCGCGCAGCAGGCTCGGCTTCGAGGAATTTCTCGAGGCGCAGAGCGATCGAACGCTCCGCGTCGGAAATCGAAGGAAGAGAAACAGAGAGTCGATCGTTGGTTTCGCGACAAATTGACATCGTAAAGCCTTATTTCCACTTGCAACTAGGCAGCCACGCGGGATGCGAAATAACGCGACACCAAAAGTTCTCACAATCGGTGTCATAGTATTTACAAGATTTTCTAATTCTCCAACGATGTGTCTACAGATCTATACTGCTATGTTTATAGAAATTAAAATTAGTTATCCAACTGTTTCCTTTCTGTTTCCGGAGGTACTTCGATAGATGATTCATATCGATGGATGGTTTATGTTCCCTTGAATGAAATATGGTGCATAAGGCCTAAATCGCGATTACGCAACTTCCGGGGCATCAAGGGCGAGGACTTTTCCGGGACGTTGTACAGATGCGAGGAAATCGACGAGGCGTGTCAACGAGCGACTGGCCAGATCGCGGCGGTTCATCGACTGACACTGAGGCCCGAGGACGGAAGAAGATTACCGGTATCGGCGAGCAAAGGGACGCGGAGTCGTCGGGTCAGCGTCGAATTACTATTCTCGAGGGTGTTTGCTGCGACGCGGAAACCGAGCGAACGACGGCTTCTCGTATCGTCGTAGAAACGACGACGACGATACCGTCTGTCGACCGATGTTTCTTCTCCCGATGTTCCTTACCCTCGTGCTCCTACGATCCCTTTCCTCCGTTCCACGCACTCTCGCGCGGCGAGTACGTAGGAGCGGGCGGACGAGCACGTGTGAGTAACCGGTGTACGACGCGGTCCCGTGAGACGTACCAAATTTAAATTTCAAATTTGGAGCGTGTCGCTGGGTGTGACGGTATGCATAGCGTTGCCTGCCGGCCCTAACTCACTCCACCGATCCCTTTCTATCCCCGTCTTTCTTCTCTTCCAAGTTCTATGTGCGTTCCTCCCTCTTGCTCTCTCTCTCTCTCTCTCTCTCTCTCTCTCTCGCGCGCGCCATATATCCGTCCATCTCCCGCAAGTTGTTCCCCTTCTCCATTTATCTGTCTACCTATCTTCCTTCCTGGCTCTCCTGCCCCGGGATCAGGAAGAAAAGAGCGAGCGATCGAACAAGCCCTCGCCCTCGATCCTCGATTTTTCATATTATTCAAATGAGCGGAGCTCTCGCGTAACAGGGCATATCGATATGCACGCGGAGGGTTGAGGAGAGACAAAAATCGGAAAGTCTTGGGGCCTCCACCCGGTAGAAAATCATCCCGCCCAGGAGCAATATCTCCGAATTGTTCCGCCGTGAGAAGAAGCGAGTCGGGTGGATCTCGTTGGATGCGGAGCAAGATCGATGCTCGCTGGTACGGGTCCTCCGGCGGTGGCTTATCCTATACAAAAAAACCGAGTTCGATTTCCAATTATTCTTGCGCAAGAGCCCAGGACTTGGCTTTCTCTCGGGGCCCGTCGATTCAGTAGTCTCCATCGTCGTCTTGATACCGGTCCCCGAGCACAATACGTCTCCTCTAATCGGAGACGATCGCGCGCGCGCGCGCGCGTACCACCGTCGAACGGGCCGAAAGAAACGAGAATGCTCGGTTCGACGATAAATCAATGGCCGAGGTCGCCGAAGGAGATGGATGAGTGACGTAACGAGCCTGTTCTTACCGTGCGCTTGTAAGAGAGGTCAGCTCTCGCGCGTATACATACATATTATACATATATACCTGTATCCCGAGCGACACGATTGAATTGTGCGCGACCGAAATGGCGGTGGGGGGGAACCTGTTGCCCTGTTGCCCGAACCGAGAGACGAGCCGGCTACTCGAAGGCGATTAAGATTACGATTTCGCCTTCTGCACGGCGAACGCGCACGCACACACACCTGCGAGTCTCTGCCTCGAGAATCGAGTCGATCCTTCTCGATATAATATCGTTTCTGTCCTCCTGCATGGCATTCACCGTGAACGAGTCACAACCGGAAAGCCGATTTACCTGGACGTGATTTTTGTAAATGTCACACGATTTACGGTGTTTCGGTGTTTCGATGTTCAAGGGAACCGTAACGATCAGTCGAATGATTCTCCCTCTCGTGCGGTTCAATTCTGGTGGATCGGCGCCCAATAATCCTTCGGCCGAGATTTCGCCGTTGAGGGGGGAATCCATTCGATAGGCCGGGAGGACTTGGATCGAACTCGCCGGAAATAGGTTATAGCTGATCTTATCTCGCCGCGAAATTTACGTTTCGCATATAAGTCGAGCAAACCCGTCGTCGTCCCCGATTCGGATCTTATCTCTCTCTCCCTCCCCAGTCCGTAAAGACGAACTCGTCGAAATACTCGCGGGTTTGCGTGCTTCCAGGCCGTTCGAACTCTATCGGGGGGCCCCTGACTGACTCGTCTGCTGGCCTCGTCGCGTAAATCCTGGGACGATTCAATCTCTTAAAGCGGTAACGCGGATGTTCGAACGAAAACACACCCTCTGATTTCCCTGATTCGATTGAACGATCGTGCGCACGAGGTCCAACGTAGGACCACATTTTCTATATTG